GCCCTCACTGGGGCTAATTTAGTAAGTTTTGTTGACTTCTGTAAATGCTGTCTTGGAAGAGGCTAAATAGTCACAGCATCTAAACAAGAGAGACAACACAGAAAAGCTGAAGTGTAGCACTGTGTGTACTCACCAGGATAGTGCAGTAAGGAATTGCACAAGGAGTTTTCTCTTTCCAGATGGAACAGCCTTAGTGCTGGGCTAGTGCTTTTTGGAGATAAGTAAGGCAGCAGAGCAACTGATTTTGCACTAGTAAGGATTCTAGCTAAAAGACATTCTTCCTGTGAAGTTGCTGCAATGAACTGGTATTTGTCTAATAAAATATGTAGTCAGAATATCCTGGTCCACATCTAGCCAAGTTTTTTCAGAAGCTTACAGGTACATGAGACATTTGTATTTACATGGGTGTGAATGTATTTTTATATTGCTGGCATCTTCTGTTTCTGCATGTTGACTTTCCATTCATAGGTGCAGCTGCATATGCCTATTTTTCCTGTTTAAAAAGAGACCGTTATTACTTCACCTCATCAAAAGAAGATTTTAGTGCACTTAAAAATATGGAGCATTAAAAATGGATTAACATAACACATGTGAGCATGCTTTCCTATCCATTACTCATGGAAGCTATTAGGACCAACTTGGATGAAAGATAAAGTCATAATTAACTTGACGTTACCTGCACTGCATTAGATATTATGTCTAGTAAATACCATGAAGTTTCCTCAGAGGAATTTGAAAGTCTTGAACATTATACACTCTATAGGGCATGGAGTCAGAGACCAAGATTTCCCTTCCTGCAGATGCTGTAAAAAACAGATCCAGAATGCCTCTGTAGTTGAGATAAATTAGCAGATTGCCATGAAACAAACACTTATTTCTCTTATTGACAGAGGAACTTCCTTTGGTTTCTGATCTGAGTTTCTTGCAACAAAGCTTCAACGCATAGTTGTTTTTGTCACAAAAACAAGCAGCAAGCAGGATGTGACCAGAGGGGTGATAGTGTGCAGTATTTTTCAGAGCTGCATCTTAATTTACAGGATGATCATGGGAATACTTAGTTTATTATCAATTACACTAGCTCTGTCTTCTAGTAATGAATAAAACTATCACTACCCTTCAGAAGTGACAGAAATTTTTTATCTTGAAATATATTCTTTGCCTTCTTGGTGCTATATGATACATGGTCTCCCTCATTAAAAACTAGCCAACTCTGAAACCCACAAGACAGGAAACTACCACAGAGGTCCTGTATCAGTAAATGTTTTTGAATAGCCCTCTATATGAATAAAGATGCAACATACAGTGCATAGTTTAATTAGTTTATTTTTTAAAATCCTGTCATAAATACAGCTGTGCATTAATTACAAAATATATTAAACTATCTATCGTTATTTCCAAGGGAACAGAAGTACTTTCATTCTGTTCAAATGCAAACCAATACAAACCTCTGACACTGACCCCAGAATAATCTTTTGCATCCATCATCAATATATTTGATGTGAAAGCATCTCTAAATAAGAACAGAAAGGCCACCCTGATTTTATTTCATTAGCAAGTTTAATCCCTTGAGAGCAAACATGACGAGGCATATCATGAGACCACTTAAAAACAGTCTATACATCTCATGTTATCTGAGCTCCTACATATACATTACATACCAACACACTTAGTAAAACAAATTTCCCTGCCCTGCAGGGGAAGACATTCAGAGGCAAAAAGAAAACACATTTGCAATATATTATAATTGGAAAATTTTTGCCATAGCAGCTTTGCGAATACACGTACTAAGAGTGGCTGACTTAAAACACATTAAAGACAACAGAAATTTGGAAGATAAAAGAAGCTAAGCCACTTTCTAAATCACCTTGAGATCCAGTAACGCTGCTAAGCATGAAGAGTTACAGAACTGAAGAACCCAAATCCTGAAGAAATTACACAGGAAACCAGTTAAATCCCCGTATTTCTTCATATTTGTTTTAGAGACAACTCTCAACACTGCACACCTTTCTGCTTCCATTTAAGTAGTTCTAGCAATTATACCTCAATCCACCATGGTAAAACAAGTTCTCAAAAGAAAAGATCAGATTTGGAGGAAGGGGAAAAGAAAAGAGGCTGTTTCAATGAAAATGAATTTTCACATAGAAACTGAATCTCTTTGTGCTAACCTCAGAAAAGTTTGAATAAAAGATAATAGTCATTAAGACTATACAGATAGTAACAATGTAGACTCGCAAGTTCTTTCATTAGCTGAAGATGATGTTCTTATTTGTAAGAGAAAGCTCTGGAACTGCAGTTAAAATGAAGAGTAGCTTGGAAGGTGGGGGAAGAAAGAGGAAAATGGAACAAGTAGATGAATAAACATTTCATTGACATTTATAATTTTTCATGACAGATACATTTAACTGATACTTAGCAAATAAGCTCTGAAAGTCTCTCATGTAAAAGTCTGGCATTACAGTAATTTGGCATCACTCAGAGTTCTACTTGGTAATATTTAAATACAAAACCAGTAGAATAGCAGCAGTGAATAAAGCATTCATATTACTGTGGCCAATACAGTATTATACATGCAGTAGCTTTCTATTCCCTATTCGTTTGTGCTATTGTACAATATTAACCATTTTAATCATTAATCATTTAAGCTCCTGAACCTGCCACCAAACTGAGTTTCCTCCCAAGGCAGAAATATATCAGATCTAGCAGATAAGGCTCAAGGCAAACGTTCTGTTCATAATGCAAAGCTTCAAAAGGAAAGAAAGTATTAATGCACTTAGTGGGTCTTGGGTATAAGCTATTAGAACACAGATGAAGGACGTTTTTGTTAGTATCACTAGGGTTGAGAAAGGAACTGTGGCAGCAAGAAGCTCTCAAATTACAAGTGTTTCTTCTGCCCCCCCTCAAAAAAAAAACAAACACCAAAAACACAAAAAGAAGAGAATGGTAGTCTTTGAGCATCTTGGAATTTGAGCATCTTGGAAAAACATGGATAACTAACATACAGTACCTTCTGTATATAGTGGGTCTGGGCACTGTCATGTACATTAAAAGCTTTTGGTTAAGAATGGTTTAACTACTAGGAATGCTCTAACTGAAGACACTCTGAAACGATTCAGCTAATAGGATGAGGCTACTCAGTATAAAAACAACTTAAGAGGTTTAAAAAGACAGTTTTAAAGCAGGAATCTTTTCCTATTTTGAGTAATACATGCTCACCTGTCCTCTAAACACACAGAATACACTAAATAAGTCAACAACTGACTGCATTTACCATTAGCTAGGAAATTCATGTTTCAGTAGTGACAATACTCCATCGAACACAATCCCTCTTCAACTAATAGGCTCTATCAGCAACATAAATTTTACTCATCTGGATATGATGAACCAAGTGGTAGGTTGGCTCCTGGAACTTTTGATCTCATGCAAGCAGACAGAGTATCCTCCCAAATCAATACACTATAGAAGTCTTTCATTAGCCTTGTATATATTAAGCATATGCACTTTCCCCACTGATGATCCCCATGGGATTGCTTTGACGAGGCCAAATAGTTGGAATACTCATTAGTATCTTTTAAGTTGCAGTGTCTCAAGTCTTTAGGTTGTTTCACTAGCTTGGAGAAATAATATAATTATGTATGGCTTAGTTCTTTCTTCGGAATCAGACTTAAGCTATGGGGTGAACAAAACTTTTTTCTTCTCTCCTTTTAAAGACAAGATTCAGAACTTTATCAGCACCATGGTAAGTTAAAATTTTTAGCACCAGTGAACTTTAACTACTCAGCTTTGACTGGTTAAAACTAATATTTATATGGCATACAAACAATCAGTACAGAAAACAATAATACATGCAACATTAGGAAGCTCATGAATTCTTGACATAGTGAATCTAGTGTTTGGTAAATAAGTAACTATGGAAGCCAGATTTTTTTCCCAAGAGCAAACAGGATTGCAATTTTTCCTCATGCTAATTACTAGGCTTTTCTTCCCCTCCAAAGTGTTGAGGGTGGCCCAGCTCCTATTGTCTAATGGGACAGGAAATACCCATGACAGTTGGATGTTGATATGTTATCTCAGCTGTCCACTGAGAATTCGTAGGAGTCGACATAGGTCATACGTCACCCAGAACACCAAGAGATCACTCAAACAGATGCAGGTCACAAGTTCAGCTTCGGCACAAATTCAGGTTTCAACAACAGTGAAACAAATTCTGCATCACCCTATCTAGTTAGTATATACCTTTGCTCACGTATCCACTCACAACCTGAAAAACATCCAGCACTAGGAGGAGATCCCACCCATGTCATTCAAATGCTACACTTTCATCTCTCTGGTGATTGTGATTGACATTCTAGGCCTGGAGCACACACTTACAAAAAGATTTATCAAAATAAAGAGAATTAGGGGCAGCACTTTCAGACCACATTGTAAATATTTCTTCAGTGAACTCAGCTCAGAGTCATTTAGCCTTCTCCACAACACTACCACATATTTCAGAAATACTAGTATCAACTCTACATCAACATGCAACTTCCTGAAGCTAACTCTGCAGGAGGGAAGGGTCAAAGCATACCTCAATCCTCGGTGACGTGAGGAAAGTCTTAACCTGACTTCAGATTTCAAGAGAAGCATAGCCCATTGAAAATTCTAGATAAGTCAATATAGAAACTATCTCACCTTTCCCAAACTCTGTAAAAAAAACAACCAATCAACTCACCCTCATCTTTATTAATTTAGCTATTTCCTTGCTACAGTATCTATTCCAAGGCACTGAGACGAAAAGACTTAGAGGTCTTTTCTGATATGACTTAAGTTTTACCAAACTGAGATGTACAGGTACTTCAATAGGATTTTCCTGTAGGCAGTTAAGTTTTGATTAACAACACTTCATTTAGTTAGCTTGCTACAGAAGTAGCTTATTACTTTAACAGAGAACAATACCAGATATTTCAACACATGACCTCATACAGAAAAAAAAGTATACCAGCAACAACAAAGTTCTATTCAGGTGAAGATCAACTATGTTGGCAACTATGGTCTTTTACAAATGCAGCCTATATGGAAGATGAAGCACGCATGTAATCTGTGGTGGAAGAACATGACTAGTGGCTCCATTCCTCTGGTTAAGACTTACAGGCTACATAGCTCCATCAGTACTGCGAGCTTGAAATCCTTCTCTGCGGAGACTGTTTAAATCTAGACGCGTTAGAACTTCACAGCGCACCAGAAGGGTATCATCCTTTATGAAGGTTCTTTGTTTCAAGGTTTGCAGGTGCATGAAAGTCACATAACCAAAACCTTTTGGATTGCGATGAATTGTTGGTCTCTGGAAGGCTAGTAACTCTGGCTTGGCTTCCATTACTTCTTCATGATTCTGCCTGTCAGGGCCTTCTGACTGATCCAAAATAGAAAGTCGTATAGTGCCTTGGAAAGGCCAAGGCAAATGGCTGTCATATTCTCCTTGCATAGTGTGGACAAACAGAGATATAAAATTAGCACAACGCTGAGCATTCGGTAATTGGATATGCAGGCGCAAACACAGCTTGTAGCCAGGCTTTCCAGTATAGAAGCCAGGACTGTGCATCACGACAGGTCTCTCTTCTTCCTGGGCTTTCTGAAGTCCACTGAAGTTCTCAATCTTCCAGATATAAATACCATTACATTGCTGTGCCTCCATTTCAGTAATCTTTCCCTCCAAATTTCGGATAGTACGTTTGAGTTCTGCCATGTGAGTGTTCTGAGTCTCCATTTTAGCAATGAGTTCTCTGATTTGGTGATCTTGTCTTACCAGCCGACCTTCCAACTGCTGAATAGTTTCTTTGAAGTTTTCAACTTCTGGATTACAATCATATGCGGCATGTGACACGGGTGAGAAGAGGGCAGGCTCAAAGGGTAGGCCATTGATGAAGGGTACAGGATTTGTAGCAGTAACACTGATATTTTGAAAACTCTGAGCCATCATTCTCATGTGAACCTGAGTGAACTCCTGCATATGTCGTGCCAGTTCATTCCTTTGCATCTAGAATTTAAGAGATGTGGCATTAGGAACATATCAAACACTATCTGCAATCACATCTTAAATGTGGCTCTGAAGAAAATCAAACAACTAGTTGCTTCTACTATGTGAGAGAAACTGGAATGTGACTCAAGGACAGGCGATGTGGAAAAAAAAAATAGCACTTTACCAATGGAGGGCTCCAAATTTAAGATCACTGTTATGACAAATGAAAAAAGTTCAAATGCCAGTGGGCAAATATTGTTCAACTCAAAATAGTGACATAGTGAAAAAGTGTTAGTGATAAACATCCATTTAGTATTTTTTCTGTGTTCTAAATAAGCATTGTATTCCCTTCATTGATTTGCTGAAATGCTCCACAGTACCAAATACAAAGGTGTATGAAAACTGATGTGGAAATGATGAAGGGAAAAGATCCGTTTTTACAAGGAGGTATTAAACAACTAGAAATAAGAGTATCCAGATTAATTTTAGAATTTAGTCAAATCTAAAGCATTGTCAGGTTTTCTTCACTGAACTCTAAGCCATAACTGTATTTGGTCACTGCTTTGGAAGAAATGCTAGAAGCTACTTTATTGACACGAAAGCTGGGAAAACACTCATGGATTAATAAAAGCAAGTTCATCAAGCAAATCGTTCACAGAATTTTTTTAAATTTGAAAAGCAATGTATCAACATGTAGTGTTTTAGAATTAAGATACCTTGAAACAAAAAAAAAACCACAAATCACTGAGGATTTGTGCTGGTGAATGAGACAAGAATAGGAAAAGACAGTAAAAAAAAAACAAAAAACAAAACAACAAAAACATGCAGAATGTCTGCAGTTCATGATTCTGAAAAAAGGCTTACCTTTTCAGGACACCCAAAGGCACTATAAAAACATGGCACTGGGGCAGTAGGACAATCATTGTCATAATGGTTAGGCATCTAAAGCAAATCAGATTTGAAATTAATTTTTCCATCAAGAGTATTCTTTTATAACATCCTAAAAGAATATGGCTGGATGGACTCTGAATAGGTACCTGAAGTCAGATCAGTTTATACTTACATAATTTCTCAAAGAACTATGGAAGTTTTGAACAAAAATGTTAGCTGATGATAAAAGTTCTACATCCTCTATGTATGTACTTTAACAATTCATTGCCTTTGTTCTTTCGTAAGCATCAGAAAGCATTCAGGTTTTCTTGCCTTTTGTTTCTAGCCTATCCTCAAGCTAGACCACAGTCCATTTCCTTCCCTTCTGAAGCACTACTTGCATATACTTGTTGTGTCTCTCTTCATTATCCTCTTCCTGAAAAAGTTCAAATTACTTCAATTTTTCTTATGGTCCATGTTTTCCAGACCCAATTATCTCACTGCTCTGGATCCTCCCTATCCACCCCCACCTCAAAAGCTGGAGAGCTTCAGCTGACGCTTTATGAGCCCTAAACAGAGCAAAGGATAATTCTGGGTTTCACAGTCAAAATACCTGTTTATATAATCCAATATGTTTGCCTTGTTTAATTATCATGATGAAGTAGAACACAAGCTTAATATAGGTCAGCCATTAATTCTAAACCATTACCTAGTGTTGTGGTTTAACCTGGCAGGCAGCTAAACATCACACAGCTGTTCACTTACTCCCCACCCCAGTGGGATGGGGGAGAGAATTG